GAGGTAAATGGCGATGAAGCTGCTGTTGAGGTAAATGGCGATGAAGCTGCTGTTGAGGTAAATGGCGATGAAGCTGCTGTTGAGGTAAATGGCGATGAAGCTGCTGTTGAGGTAAATGGCGATGAAGCTGCTGTTGAGGTAAATGGCGATGAAGCTGCTGTTGAGGTAAATGGCGATGAAGCTGCTGTTGAGGTAAATGGCGATGAAGCTGCTGTTGAGGTAAATGGCGATGAAGCTGCTGTTGAGGTAAATGGCGATGAAGCTGCTGTTGAGGTAAATGGCGATGAAGCTGCTGTTGAGGTAAATGGCGATGAAGCTGCTGTTGAGGTAAATGGCGATGAAGCTGCTGTTGAGGTAAATGGCGATGAAGCTGCTGTTGAGGTAAATGGCGATGAAGCTGCTGTTGAGGTAAATGGCGATGAAGCTGCTGTTGAGGTAAATGGCGATGAAGCTGCTGTTGAGGTAAATGGCGATGAAGCTGCTGTTGAGGTAAATGGCGATGAAGCTGCTGTTGAGGTAAATGGCGATGAAGCTGCTGTTGAGGTAAATAGTATTGAAGTTTCTACTGAGAAAATTGATGATATTGGGGAAGTAGTTAACATTGATGAGATTCCTATAACAAGCAGGATGTTAATTGAAGCTCAGAAATCTGACGAATCCCTAATGCCACTACGTAATGCAGCCATGTCGAAATCAGAAATTCAGTCACTGTCATCTGGGTATTATCTAAATACTGGGATATTGATGAGGAAATATAGACCCCCTGAAGTACCAGCAACCGATTCGTGGAATGAAGTTTTTCAAGTGGTGGTAGCAACTTGCTATCGATCTAAAGTTATTGGTTTGGCTCACGACTTAGGTGGAGGCCATTTGGGTATCAAGAAGACACTTGATAAGGTCATCAGATATTTCTACTGGCCAGGTGTTAAGTCAGATGTAACGAGATACTGCAGAACTTGTGACATATGTCAAAGGGTTGGTAAACCTAACCAAGTTATTCCTCCTGCACCTCTTAAGCCTATTCCTGCATTTGAGGAACCGTTTTCAAGGGTAAACATTGATTGTGTTGGACCTTTTCCTAAAACAAAGAGCGGAAATAGGTTTTTGCTTACTCTCATGTGTGCTAGTACTAGATATCCTGAAGCAATTCCTTTAAAACGAGCTACATCTCGTACTATTGTCCCAGTCTTGATCAATTTTTTTACACAATATGGTATGCCACGTGTATTACAGTCAGATCAGGGAAGCAATTTTTGGTCAGTAATGTTTCAGGAAGTAATGAAATTATTACACATTAAGCAGTTTAGTGCCACAGCTTATCGGCCACAGACGCAAGGTGCCCTTGAAAGGTACCATCAGACACTTAAGAGTATGCTCACGAAGTATTGTCAGGAAACGGGTAATGAATGGGATCTAGGAGTGCCTTTAATGCTGTATGCTATAAGATGTACTAAGCAGGAGAGCCTAGGGTTTTCACCATATGAATTACTTTTTGGGAGAGACATCCGCGGACCCATGAAATTGTTGTATGAAAGCTGGATAGGTATGGAAAATTCAGTGTGTCTAAGTGATTATGTGGAAAAAATGAAAACCAGGTTGCAACATCTTCAAAAATTTGCTCATGAGAATCTAGAAAGTGCACAGTGGTCAATGAAGGAAATATATGACAGGAAGGCAGCTGAACGAGAATTTGCTGTCGGGGAAAAAGTGCTACTGTTTTTACCTGTTAGAAAACAACCATTAACTGCTAAATATCAGGGACCTTTCAAAGTACTGGAGAAAATTAATGACATTAATTATATAATTGCTACTCCAGGTCGCAGGAAAAAGAAAAAGGTAGTTCACATCAACCTCCTTAAGAAATATCATTCGCGCAGACCAGATGCTGTGACTGCTTTGTGTGTGATCTCTGGTCCTGAGGAGCGGGGAGATACTACTATTTCAAATGAGATGGAAAGTGAATTTGTTGTAGGCGAGGTTGGGTTCAAATTGCAAAACAGTGACATCTTGAAAAATCCAGCCTCTAAATTTTCTCATTTACCCCACGAACAGCAACAAGATATCTTGTGTGTACTCCAGGAATTTAGTGATATTCTTGGAGATGTGCCACGACAGACGCACCTGGTGACCCATGACGTGAAGCTGGTAGACGGGGCTATCCCTGTCAAACAAGCACCGTATAGAATGTCTCCTTATAAGGAAAAAATTATGGAAGAGGAGGTAAGCTTTCTGCTCAAAAATGGTCTTGCTGAACTTAGTGAGAGCGAGTGGGCATCACCCTGTGCACTCGTGCCAAAATCTAAGGGTTGGAGAATGGTGACAGACTATAGAAGGGTCAATGAGCTCACAAAAGGGGATTGTTATCCTTTACCTAGAATATTGGATATAATAGATTCCATTGGGGAGTCAAAGTTTATTACTGTACTCGATTTACTGAAGGGCTATTACCAGGTACCCTTGTCACCTGAAGCGAGGCAGATAACAGCATTTGTGACACCTAATGGATTTTATAACTACTGTGTGCTTCCTTTTGGCTTAAAGAATGCGCCTAGCTCATTTCAGCGACTGACGGGTTCAATAATACGTGGACTCAAAGGGGTAAAGGTATACATTGATGACCTTGTAGTTTACAGTAGTAAATGGGAGGACCATGTGGCAACATTGCGATCCCTCTTTGAACGTCTGCAAGATGCTGGGCTCACTGTTAATTTAGTCAAGAGTGAGTTTGCACAAGCTAAGGTGAGGTATCTCGGCCACGAGGTTGGAGGAGGAGAGGTTGCTCCAGTTAAAGCCAAGGTAGAAGCTATCAATGAGTTACCTGTACCTAAGAATAAAAGAGCAATTCAAAGATTCATTGGTATGGCTGGGTACTATCGTAGATTTTGCCCGAACTTTGCTGACGTAGCCAAACCCTTAACATATCTTTTGAGTCCAAAGCAAGAATTTAAATGGACGGTTGAATGTCAGGAGTCTTTCAAGAAGTTAAAGAACTTTCTAACGTGTGAACCTGTGTTGAGGTCTCCAGATTTTGATAAACCTTTTACCCTCCAGGTAGATGCTAGTGACGTGGCTGCAGGATCAGTATTGTTGCAGGCAGGGAAAGATGGGGTTCTGCACCCGGTCTGCTACTCTTCCGCGAAGTTCAAGCCGCACCAAACGCACTACAGCACGGTCGAGAAGGAGGCTGCCGCTCTTCTCATGGCTCTTGAAAAGTTCGAGGTGTATTTGAGCTGCACGCCATACGAGATCGAAGTCTTTAGTGATCACAACCCACTTCAGTTTGTGACGAAAATGAAAAACAAAAACCAACGTCTTACCAGATGGTACTTAGCGTTGCAACCTTACAATCTAGTGATAAAACATATCAAGGGTCGTAATAACATAATAGCGGATAGTCTCTCCAGACCAGGTTAATGAGTATAAAACCCGATGGGTTTATCTTTGTGGTGGGGGTGTTACAGAGTCCTAAAATATACGGAACTCTACTTTGCTAAAATACAGAAAAGTTAACCATGGAAATACGATTTCCAAAGTATTCCCGTTTTCTAATGATCAGCTGTGATTGACAGTTCTGGGTATGGGTAGTGACTGCGGAGCGGTGGTGAGGTAAGGAGCTCTCTGCGGGTACTTGTGGAAAGGGCACTTCTAGGGCCTTATTTATGTTAAATACTTGTTAAATATATATCTAGAGATATGTTTTGTTCCAACGTCCATCCAGATAAGAAATAAAAACATAATAAAAGGTACAAATGCTAAAATATTAGATTATTTGCCAGACGGCTGCTCCGGCAGACTGCAGCATTCTTTTATGTACATATATTTTTTTTGTTTTCTTTATTGCACACTATTGTCACTATTGTGGTATTCATTAAACTTTTGTTATCGACAACAGTTTGTTTCGATTCCTTATTATTGGAAAGAAATTGATTTTTACGAAGGATAATGCTCGTGAACAAAGAGAAATGATAACGAGTGGTATGAATAATGAGAGAAAGGGAATTTCATTAGTATATAATTAACAATTCATACACCTAGATGTAACAATATATGTATATATATGTATATATATAAATGTGTGTATACATATATTAATGGGTACGCGTATATATATATATTTATAAATAAGTACGCGTATATATATAGATATATATATGATTACATATATATATGGATATATATCTAATATATATATATATATATATATATATATATATATATATATATATATATATACATACGTGCAAATATATACACAGACACACATACATGTGTATATATAATACACATATATATTTACTTATATCTATTTATATATTTATTTGTAAATTTGTATATATATAATATTTATATTTCTATGTATATCCATATTTATATTTAAATGTATGCATATATATATACATGTATGTACATTACCAGAATAGGAAATGAAAAATGGTAACTCGAGTTCAAAACTATATTCTGACATTACATTCTGAGTATTTTTGTTCCTTAATATCCATGTACACCATTTTTCGGATATGCAAGGGCAGGAAGTGGGACCCTGAAGAACTCCTGGCGCAACGTAGGGATGGGCAGAGGAATGGAAGACACTTGGAGCTGAACGCCTGGAATTCTTGGTAGGACGAAATCGTGACCAAAATTTAACCCTATGCTCTTGTATGAACCATCTTGCCTGTAAGAAGTTGGCTGTGCAGTTGTAAGTGCAATGCCTGCAACTACCAGGAGGATAAAGCACTTCATTGTGGTAATGATATCCTGCTTGACTCGAGGTCGTATAATATAAGGTATTGCTGGCATCGTAATCTGTTTGCACTCGGCCTCCCAGTCTCTCAATTGATAGTTGTTAAATTCCAGATATAACATGTTTTTCCTTATATTGTTTAATGCAACTCTTGTAATTATATAATTAGGTGAAGAAATAAGGGATGATCGTTGATGAGTCCATATCCAATTTATTTGAATTTCTATAGCCACGTTTTTGGCTATTCGAAATATAATTGAAAGAACGTATACTTCGCTCAGCCATAGTATTCACAGCAGCATCGTTTCATTTTCAAACGAACGTTCTCTTATCAGTTGTGCGATTCAGCTCATAAATCTGCAGATTCCTTTACTTGGCTGATTAAGAAATATGTCTAGTCATCCAGAGTTGGTAGAGATTGAGGTATCATGATAATCGAGGATCACATTAAAAAATTCTTATTCGAGAATGTTGAAAATGAGGTTTTATTAGTTTTTTATAAAGAATGTCATATGTATATATATAAATGCATATGTATATTTATATATGTATATATATAAATGTATGTATATAAATGTATATATATATATATATTTATATATGTAAATGCATATATATATATATATATATATATATATATATATATATATATATATGTAAATGCATATATATATATATATATATATATATATATATATATATATATGTATATATTTATATATGTATATGTATATTTATATATACATGTATATTTCTATGTATATGTATATTCATATGTATATGTATATTCATATGTATATGTATATGTATATTTATCTTTATATATATGTATATTTATCTTTATATATATGTATATTTATATTTATATATATATTTATGTGTGTATATGTATGTATGTATGTATACTTATATATGTATATTTAAATACATAAGCTGGGGGGCTGCAGCCCCCCAGTCGGGTAAATGCTGGTTGAATTCGGGCAATTTTGGGCAGGGGCGTAGATAGGAAAATTCATAGAGGGGGCGAGAAATGAAGATATCCCGACAAAAATTTGACACTAATTTTCATTTTTTATTATTTTGAACATAACAAGGCTATTAGAACTAAACGAAACAGAAAATCATCGTTATTTTTCCGACAAGTGCAGAAATTGTCCGTCAAAATGGCAGTTTAGTCTTATAGGTGGCTTTTTCGCCCCCCCTCCCCCCCCCGACTCCATCTATCTACGCCACTGATGGCATTCATCACAAATTTTCTGGCAGGTGAAATTTCTCTTCCTCTTTCACTCGAGCAGATAATTTGCAGCCCCCCTAAATCTTAAATGCCCCTACGCCGATGGTTATATATATGTATATTTAAATCTATATGCATTTTTATATGTATATCTATATACATGTTTATATAAATCTATATGCATTTTTATATGTATATTTATATATATGTATATATAAATCTATACGCATATTTATATGTATATGTATATTTAAATGTATATCTAACTGTATATTTATATGCATATGTATATTCATATGCATATGTATATTTATATGCATATGTATATTTATATGCATATGTATATTTATATGCATATTTATATGTATATGTATATTTATATGCATATTTATATGTATATGTATATTTATATGCATATTTATATGCATATGTATATTCATATGCATATTTATATGTATATGTATATTTATATGCATATTTATATGTATATGTATATTTATATGCATATTTATATGTATATGTATATTTATATGCATATTTATATGTATACGTATATTTATATGTATACGTATATTCATATGTATATGTATATTTATATGTATATTTTTATGTATATTTGAATGTGTATCTAAATGTATATGTATATTTATATGTATATTTTTATGTATATTTGAATGTGTATCTAAATGTATATGTATATTTATATGTATATTTTTATGTATATTTGAATGTGTATCTAAATGTATATTTATATTTAGATGTATATTATATCTATATGTATATTTAGATGTATATTCATATGTATATGTATATGTATATGTATATGTAAATGCATGTATATATATATATGTATATGTGTACACTACCAGAATAGGAGATGGAAAATGATAATTAGAGTTCAAAACTTTATTCTGATGATATTCTGACATTACATTGCGTATATTTTCGTTCCTTAATATCCATGTACAATATTTTGCGGATATGTAAGGGCAGGAAGTGGAACCTTGAAGAACTCCTGGCGCAATGTAGGGATGGGCAGAGGAATGGAAGACACGTGAAGTTGAACGCCTGGAATTCTTGGTAGGGCGAAATCGTGACCAAAATTCAATGCTACACTCTTGTAGGAACCATCTTGCCTGTAAGAATTTGGCTTTGCAGTTGTAAGTGCAACGCCTGCAACTAGCAGGAGTATAAAGCACTTCATTGTGGTAATGATATCCTGCTTGACTCGAGGTCGTATAATATAAGGTATTGCTGGCATCGCATTCTGTGTGCACTCGGGCTCCCAGAGTCTGAATTTCTAGTCGTTATATTCCGTATTTTGTTTAATTCAACTCCTGTATTTAAGTGAAGAAATAAGGGATGATTGTTGATTAGTACCGTATATAATCTATTTAAATTTCTATAGCCACATTTTAAGTTTTTCGAATTATGACTGAATGTACGTATACTTTGCTCAGCCATAGTGTCCACATTCATTATTTTGCGGATATATAAAACCACGGACTGAATTCGAAAGACCTGGTTTGATCACACTTATTGAAATGGTCTTATTCCATTATGTAGTTTACCAAGGATAAGACATCTCATACATACAAGTTTGTATGTCTAATTTGACCCCAAATTCTGCTCAGAGAACGCCGACAACAGCATCTTTTCACCTTCAAACGAACGTTCTCTGATCAGCTATGCGATTCAGGTCATGAATCTGCAGATTCCTTGATTAAGATGTGTGTCTAGTCATGTCAAGTGAATTGGTTTTCCCTATTTCATTTAATGCAACTCGTGTAATTATATAATTAAGTGAAGAAATAAGGGATGATTATTGATAAGTACCATATGTACTTTATTTTCATTTCTATAGCCACATTTTAGGCTTTTCGAAATATAACTGGATGAACATATACTTTGCTCAGCCATAGTATCCACATTTATGATTTCACGGATATATAAAACCACGGAGTGAACTCGAAAGACCTGGTTTGATCACACTTATTGAAACGGTCTTATTCCATTATGTAGTTTACCAAGGATAAGACATCACATACATACAAGTTTGTATTTCTAATTTGCTCAGAAAACGCCGACAACAGCATCTTTTCACCTTTAAACGAACGTTCTCTGATCAGCTATGCGATTCAGGTCATGAATCTGCAGATTCCTTGGTTAATTAAGATGTGTGTCTAGTCATCCAGTGTTGGCAGAGATTGAGGTATCATAATAATCGAGGATCACATTAAAAAAATGATCTTATTCCAGAATGTTGACAATGAGGAGGTAAATGCCATATGGATATATATATATATATGCATATATATAAAGCATATATATAAATGCATATATATAAATGCATATATATAAATGCATATATATAAATGCATATATATAAATGCATATATATAAATGCATATATATAAATGCATATATATAAATGCATAT